TGTAGCCATCGAGATGAAAATTGGCCTCATCAGTCATGATGATTTTCTATGAAATTCCGAGTACTTTTCATGCATTTCAAGAACCCAATTATCTCAAAAAATTAATTCTTCAAAAGAGACATTTACCGGAATAGCAAGCTATTCTAAATAACACCTCTTATTGGAAAACTTTACAAAAGAATACAGCCTATGAATGTGTGTATGTATTGGGAGTCAGATGTTGAATTTCAACTAAATATTCTTTACTTGCAGCACTTAATGGTTATTTTCTCACTACGTCTAAATTAATTTCTTAACACCAGTTTATAAAAGCAATTACTAATTAAAACTACTTTTAATTACAAAATAATTACTATTAGCTGCATAGACCTATGTATATATACTGCGGTAACTCGAAATTGAAAATGTTGAACCAGAAAATTGCGCGTCTCAGTAAGAGCAGCATTTTTAGTTGAAAGTGTATCTTGCTCATGGTCTAGTATTAGGAATTTTCAAATTTCTAAGCTATGTGAAAAGACATTGCTGTACTTTTTCTATATATGTATGTATGCATTAATTTAATCTTAAAATACCAATAATGTTACCGCCGGCAGAAAGGTGCATCCCACGCGGAAAAAATAATATGCTGAATAATTTGACAATGACCTAAAATTTTCAAAAGCTTAAAGAAGAAAACATCTAAGGGCTTTGGGGTAGACCTTTACATGCTGTTTCTCCAAATTATATTGTATTTAATTTTTATAATTATAATTAGGCAGGGAATGTCCAACCCTCCGCGTGTATTTCGGACATTAAATGAAGGCTCCTCATAAAAAAACCATCAGCCGTTCGGAGGCGTCTTAGTATAAACTGTAGGTCCCTCCATTTGTTGGAAAAAATATCAAGACGGAAACCCATAATTTGGAGAAGGAGCTCGCCGAAAATCGCTTCAGCGGTTACAAAGTGCCAATTATATATATATAATTATAATAAATATTGAATAAAGTTTAAATAAAGTTGTAAGTGAATTATATGTTTTTTTTTAATGTTTTTTCGGTTATTAAATATAAGTTTTGTCTTTTAATCAAATCCTTCTGTAGTAGTAAGCTATAATTATATGAAACGAAGCTATAACAGCAAATAAATTTGAAATAAATTTTAAAAATCTAAGCTTTTCTCAATCGTCTTTATATGCAAAATACTTCTGTGTGTAATAGTATACTCATACTTGTACATACGAATAAAGAAGTTTATATATGCAATATATTCAATAAAAAGAATAAACACTCAGCATTTCCATCTACACCATTTACACATTTAACCCACAAATGAAAACTTATACTCGTGCATATGCATATTGGATGTCAAATTGATATTATATTTTAATACTTGCAATTCTTGTTATTTTGAAAATGGCCACTTGATTTGGCTCTCACTTTTTGAACATTGCACACTTGCACGTTTTGTTACTTAATTCGCATTTGTAAATGAAGAACCTGACGCGCATAATTAACAATCAGTGAAACTGTTACGAATAAAATGTAGAAAGTAAAAATGCGGAAATGAAAAAAGTATCGACATTGTTTCCAAATCAAATGCATATTCGAGTGTGCGTTTACATAGCTAACTATACGTACACATACATACGTACATCCATATATACTTTGCATGTAGCGCCAAATTTTTAGGACACAATTTTTGGACGCGTGGAAAAATTTGCAGAAAATATAAATTTGGTCATTGTATTATTAAGATATACTATAATATTGATATATGTATGTATGTATGCACATAAATGTTGGATTGCCTCCACTTAATTTAAATTCATGCTAGTCTACACTCGTACACGGAATGACCAAGACACCGATTACATAACTCAAATAATAAATTAAGGGATATGGAAAAGTACTAAATTTATTACATATTTTATATAAATATATGTATATATTATGGCATTGCTTACTGTCATTCGGAAGGCTTGGATTCAATTTCTGGTATGACCAACATCCAAGGACGAAGTTATAAAAAATTATTTTAAATGAAAAATGAAGCTAACTTTTCTAATTGCGGACGCCCCTCGGCAGGGAATGTCAACCTCTCCGACAGTATTTCTGACAAAAAAAAAAGCTCCATTTGTTGAAAAAACATCTAGGCGCAAAACCCACAAATTGGAGGAGTAGCTCGGCTGGAAATCGCTTCAGCGGTCACAAAGCCAATTATATGTATATATATATATAATCTACATATGTATGTACGTGTGTTCACATACCGGTAAACTATATATTATTGGAAACGTGTAAAGTAGAAACACTATATGTATAAATCTATGTTCGCACGTACTCGTATGTTTTCAAGTATGTGGTCTTGTGAATGACGCGTTGTCGCAGTTATTGTCAATTACAAAACTTTTTGTTGGCAAATTAAGTAATGATCGCATAATATCGCGCTTTATCAGATACAAAAACTAGTCTTCATTAAACTAAACGTGAAAAACTTACGTGCCTGAGTAATGTCACAAATACCTGATCACTGTTGAAAATCTTGATCACGGTTAATTCTTCATTTATTCCTATCTTTTTATTAAATGGGGTTGATACTGAGTGTGGTGTGTCACTACTTCCGATTGGATTGGATTAGACTAGTTGACAGTCATTTTGCGACTGTGATGTTAGAGGCCATTTCATGGTGATTTTCGGTAGCTGAAATAAATTTCCGTAAGAGTTTCGACTTATGATTATTTTTAACAAAATTAAGTTATATTAGAAATTGAGTGCTAGCGTTAAGAGGAGTAGGGCTCAAATTACCTCCTTGTTCTCGCATTTTATGTCTGCGCGTTGTGAAGGCGCCGCTCGGGTTTTAACCTTGCTATCTTACATGAGATGTGTGGCCAGTTTATTCTTTAATCAGAGGACAGGACAGATACTAAAATGACAAAAATAGCGCATCAAAAATATTTTGTGCTGCAAATCTAAGTAAATGTTTACATGGCAAACGAAAATATACGAAAATTTAAGAAAAAAATAAATTAAAAACATGCTCTCTATAACACAAAATCTATACTTGATGGAAAGTTTTCGAAGCCAAATTCGTAATCCGAACACCTCAGAAGCAAATTTTTCCTTCAGATTTATTGAGTGGTGTTAATTAATATTTTATTAATATTAATATTTTATTTTTTGAATACGTCTTTAAATTGTAGTTTCTTCCTTTCATGAGAGAAACGTCTCAACGCCCAAATGGAAGAGAAATTTGAAAATCGCTTAAGCGATTCTAAAACGGCGGTTCCTAACAGTTAATCTAATCAAGAACTGTTTAAGGAATTTGATAGTTATTTTGTGATTTTTTTTTATTAAAAAGAATTATTATTTATTTTTGGATCTAAGTATGATTATACAAAATTATCCCTTGGTTTAGATTTAAAGCTTTTCAGTTACATTTGATTTATCGAAAACCTCGATCAAATATGGTCGAAAAAGTCTAAAATAATAATTACACGATAGTTTTAAATAATAAAAGAACTAAATAAACCAAAAACAATACCTGATTTGAACAGTACGTATGCACCGCTAGGCAGAGGTAAAATATGCAGGAATGGGGTCATTAACAATTCAAAGATGATGCTAGTGGCTTTCAGATGCTCTTTATATCTTCTGAGGAAATTCTAGAGATGCTCAACAAACGAAACGTTATATTTCATTTGATGTTATTATTTTCTGCGGAGTTGCAATTCGAATTGTTCAGCACTAAAGAGGCACTCTATGCAAATTGTAATTGCATTGATTTTTTTATTTTAAAATATATGTAATATTGCGAAAATATTCAAATATTGATAATCGAAAATCGCTTTATGTTTTTCAAAATATTCTCCATCAAATTAATATACATTTTTATTTGAGTTTGAAAAAAAAAAATCGTGAAAGAACTTTTGGCATTTTGATTGAGGCATATCCAAATCACCAACCGGCTCTTCAGATGCCGAGAAACGTTGTCCTCTCCGTTTAAGTTTTACGTACGGGAATAAAAATAAATAATTATTTCGATGTTTTGAGTACTAAAAATGCAATTACTTTCAATCAATGTGATAGAGCTCCCATTGGCGTGGTGAAGAGTTCTCCGTCTCCGGTGGTAGGCTTTGTACCTCTCAGATTTTACTGTTCTGTGTTGTTCTAATGGAACGATATATCCAGTTTTTCGAAAAAAAAAAAAAAAAAACAGGCAACCATTTGCGTAGAAGTGATTGGAATGCTCGCGAACAACTCGGCTTCGGTCCTTGGAATTTCACCATACATTACCTGTCACGATATCATAGACGTGTTCCGAGGCATCGCTATCCTATTTTTGAAAGATTACTTTCGACCAATCGACACGAGCCTTTTTTTGTGCGATTCACAAATTGTGTGGGATTCAACGTGAACAAATTTTTGGGCAATCAAATGTTCATGCCAAATAGAGGGTATGCTGTTCCCACTAATAGATCAAATGACGCCCTATCAATATCAGTTTGCGTACAGCATCAATAGTCTCCGAAACTGGCCATACCACCGATAAACACTGGCCCTTGATTGAGCTTTATCATCAAAAATTTAATTAAGATCAACGACGCACTCTTCCTGTGTTAATCCATTTTGAAAGTTGTAAAAATAATCTCGCGATTTCATTCCTTTTTTTGGGCGGGATGTGTCCGAGGAGTGTCTTTTAAGTTATTGTAAACAACGCGAATAGCGCTTATATATCAAAACTTGGCGAGGGAATCTCTGTGGAACTATTGACACAAATTCGACGATGATCATCATCAAAGCTTAAGTTCTGCCCTATCTGCACAACTTTTTCAAAGAAGAATAATTTGGACTAGTTACGCACATTATTTATTTGGGGTTTTGTAGAGATAGTTTACAAGTTTAGATTTCCTACAATTTTACTCTTTACTTATCTATTGGATGATCTACTTATTAACATCACTGCTATGTACATTCAATGATTTTACATTAAATTTATTTTGATAACTACTTAAATATTTTCAGAGTTACAAAAATGAGGTCATTTCATAATTATCTTGAAAGATTTCGACGTACTCTTCCGAACATGTTCTTATTCATACTGTGTTTCGTACTCATCGCTAAATGTGGTTGTTTGGAGCACGATGAGAGCGTGGCGCAATCTACCCCGACTATACTACGTACACAATCAAACTTTCAAAGTGGAAAAGAAGGGTCGCCAACACCTCTGAAGGCGGCGATCGGAAAAGAAGAATTTTACGACAGCGACTCAAACCAACCACATTCCCGAAAAAAACGTTTGGTGTGGATAACAGAAGATGGGCGGCTTGCATTGCCTCCCGGAACTGCACTTACAATTACACCGACAATATCAATGCCTTTGGTACGTCATCCACCTGAGGGATTCTTTTCAAATGTATCCATTAGCTTCCCATTGACAAGTGAGTAATTATTAATAAAAGACAGTTATACAAAATTGATAAAAAAATCTAACCAAATGCGTGACTGATACTTTTGAGCGAATACCTGTAATGCTATATGAATTAAACGGTTTAATCTAAAAATTATGTAACAGGAGCGGTAATAAAACTAAATATAATTAAAAGCAAGAAAGAAGAGCCGTCTTCGGTCATATCTTTCACAGCTTATTAAATTTATATGTTGCATGCTCTCGGATACTTTGTGGACGGATTTTTTACCGAAAACCTCATGTTTGAAAAAATCGGTTGTATGAGAAGAGAGCTGCTCTTAAATTACGTAAGCATAATTTCAGCATTTTACAAGCATTAAGAAAGTTTTTAAATCATCACTCCCAAAGTAAAGAGGAACATAGACATTAATAATGAAAAACAAAATCAATCAAATGGTCGCCACGGCTACGCTTACAGGACCGTTTGCTTTTTATGAAATTTGCCATCACCAAATCGCTGAATAGCTTCACGAATTTCATCTTTGAGTTCTTGAATCGACGTTGATCTTATCTATCATGTGGCTCTAAAGGAAGAGATCACAAGATCTCAATTATCTGTGATCTTCTTTTCGAGAGATGACATGGTCCGTAAACTTTTCCCCTAAAAGATCGATGTGTTCGTTGTCGTCGGTACGTAGCGCTGTCTCGTTGTCCTAATTAATACCATCCAAATTCGTTCATAATAAATCATTAATCATTTCTAGATAACACACTCCTTTCACCGTAATTTTTGCTCTAGACTCATTTAAAAAAAATAGGTCCAATGACCCCGTCACACCAACGAATTATACGTTGTGGATGGAGAGGCTTTTCAAAAATAAATCATGGCTTTTTCCAGTCTCAGGTGCTACAGTTTTGCTAAATGACGTAGCAATCGAAGTGGAAATTCTTCCGATCAGTCAAACAGATTTTGACGAAATTCCGGATCATGTTAATGCATTTCAAGGACTCAATTAACAAAGACACGACATAGTTGATGATCGGCCGAGAGTTCTTGTGATTGTTCAACACTTTGTGCGAAAGCAGCAATATTCTTTGTTGTTGAGCGACGTGGACGTATTTTCTTCTTCACATCATTAACTTATCCCAACAGTTCAACCTCAAATTTCTGTCCATGGTGAGGCAAAGTTCAAAGTTTTCTATTACTAGCATAGTGTTTTTTGCTTCATCTGTTTTTGGCATGATAATCAAAGCTCTTCGTAAAAGCCATCGGCCGTTCAGATGCAGGGTCGCCAATTTTTTTTTTTTTTTTTTTGGATTGGAGGAGGGGATATATATATTGAGGGCTTTTCCGAAAGAGATGATTTGATTTCAATGTTTCTGTCTTTTTGGACATTTTTAATTTATCATGATATATAATGTTTTTTTCATTGCATTCCGTAATGATTACAATTTCATCATGGCAAGATAAACGCAAGAACATCGTTTACAAACAACCAAACGAGGCCTTCTTTCATCTGAGTGGTGGGGTAAATAAACAAAATTGTCGATTCTGGTGCCAAGAACATCCACAAATTATTCATGGACAACTATTACATTCACCTAAATTGGCAGTTTCGTGTAGTTTTTTGTCTGGTGGAAACATCGGTAGCACCGTTATTGTCAATGGAGAGGGGTATAGATCACACAGAATGTACAATACAACAACCAAATTATTGCGAGAAAGGTTCGATTAATTCAAGATACTGTGACATTGAATGGCCTCCAAGAAGTTGTGATTTACTATCATTATACTTGTTGGGTTATTTGAAGTAATTGGTTTTTAGCAATAAACCAGACTCTATTCAAGCTTTAAAAGTCAATATTGAACGTACTTTTCATGACATACGACTTAATTTAGTGGAAAAAGTCCTCAAAAATTTGGTTCACCGAGGTCTGCAAAGGAATGATAACCTTGTAAAGCTTTCAAATCAATATCGATATAATCAAATTATTGATCTTCAATAATAGTAATTAAAAAATTTGATTACGTAAGATTTGTTTCGTATAATTATTGCATTTGTTCCCCTTCTCTCATCAATTGCAAATTTACTATTGTATTTCGTACAAAGTTTCTGTCTTTTCTTGAACAAGATGACACAACAAGTTTCTATAGATTTCTTAACATTTGTAATATTTCGTCGGCCTCTGAAGCCGAGTGGTTGCATTGCTTACTGCCACTCGGAAAGCCCGGGTTCATATCCTGTCACGAACAACATCTAAAATTAGATTTTCTAATTGCGGTCGTCCCCTCCAAGTGAATATCTGACATGATATGGCTCCCCACCTCTGCCGTTCGGAGGCGGTTTAGCGTAAACTTTATGTCCCTCCATTTGTTGGAAAAATGTCAAGATGCAGAAAACGAATCGGAGGAGGAGCTTCACTTTCTTCCGAAAAATACTCTTCGTATTCCAAAACTTTTTGTTCAGCCAATATTTAACGATCACAGAAATAAATTACATTGAAAATTAATGTTTTTCCTTGTATTCTCGAAAGGTCAGACTTACTGACGCAAGGGACTTCTTCAATATGATTGTCATTGTAAATGTCGATGGACCTGAAATTAAAAGAATTTCATATGACGTTTATATGCTTTTATTGAACATTCGTCAAATCAATGTCTATTTTAAGTATTCAACTATTTTAATAATTAATAATTTTATTATTTTAACTAATTTTTACCATTTAATATAGTCGATTTCGATAAACTTGGTTTGACGGATGAATCTAATCCATTGGGCGACTTACCACCTATATTTACTAGAGAGTTCGGACGATCAACGGGTCACGTGCTTGGGGATTATGTTGCCCGTTATATTCATTACAAAAGTAAACGTGACTTATCCTCGCAAATGAAGCCTCTCGATAAGGAGTCTCGCTACTATCAAATAAGAGAAGAAGTCCAGCATGCAGAAAATTTGGAGTTACCACGACTGCCAGAAAATTTCAAACATGCATTTCATGGGGGAGAAAGGTAAGTGTCTGGAGTCATAGCCTATGTGACATTAATTTATCCAGTTAATCTTTGGTTTTCTATTTTTTTTATATATTTTGACAGATTAGGGGTGGTTGTTATGGCACTGATATACATATGTACATATGCGTGCCTATATTTTATTTAGCAAAATAGAAAATATATATTTTTTTCTTTTTAAACAGGGTATTGCTTTATGGAGTGGTGGAAGATTTATTGGGCACATTCGGTGTTAACGGCAAGGCATGCTTATTACGCACTATCTGCGAAGTGCATTCTCGAAGTTTAAATCATTTCGGTGTGTTTGGGGAAATAACCAAATTGTTTTTAACGTGAGTTAATATACATAAAAATTTCCAATGATTTGTTAATGTTTATATTGTTTGTTTTATTCATTGCAGAGCGACTAGTTCACCATTTGCAGATTTGATACCTGATTATGTCCGTGCTCAGGAGATAGGAGAAGGTCGCGTAGCTCCCGGTGAATGCTTTCCATATTATAAAGACTGTCCAAAAAGCATATTTAGAGCCACACAAAAAGATAAATATAGGTAGGCGGCAATTCGCATTCAAATAAGGTTTCCTGCATATAACAATCATGAAATTATAAAAGGAACAGAGGTGAACTCATTAGCTTCAATGTCAATATCATCCCGTTTCTCGGTTTTTATTTTTTTAATCAATTATAAGGCACGTTTTATTGCTTTGATGGCTTTCTGGTGCATGCCTTGTAAGTCGTAACCTATTATAAGATTACCGTTGAACATTTATTTTCTCCATTGAAGCTGAGTTTTAACATGATTGCTCTTCCTTCAAATGTTGGTAATGTTTTTTCAACAAATGAAGGACCAACAATTTTTTCTAAGGCGCCTCCGAGCGGCTGATAAGTTTTTTATGAGAAGCTTTTATTTAATGTCAGAAATACACTCGGACAGATTGATATTCCCAACCTAGGGACAACCGAATTAGAAATATTAAGTATTAAATTCAATTAATTTTTTTATAAATTTCGCCAGAGGAACTAGCCCATTACGAGTCTTAATGATTTGTTTAAGGAGTTATTTTGTTCATAGCTGAAATTTAATAACGCCTTCTCCTTTATTTTGCAGTGTGTCACAAACGGAGGACAGCAGAGTATTGGAAGAAAATGAAGTTGTTCAACATAAGTTGTCTGCTAAATTACAAAAAAACATTTCTGAAAAGTCAGCCAATAAGCCTCATAAAAAGAAAAAAATATTTAGCATGTAAAAATGAGGTTGATTTGAATAATATTCCCTCAACAGTGAATATGTAGTTTACTACATTAAATTGAAGTCACATTTAGCAAATTGCTCATCCATCTAAGTCGAATTTAATAGGTTTTATATGATATTTATAGTATTTATTGTTTTTATACACATATTGTGTTCATGTATGTATGTAAATAAAGAAAATTACTTTAACATAATATGTTTGGAAGACAGAGTGCATATGTTATATATGTAGATATAAGCAAAAAATTTATGTAGGTTTATTAAATTATAAATAACACTATTAAATAAATACTTTACTGTTATAACCAAAATAATTTGAAAATATTTCAATTAGAGTGACGAAAAAATATTAATTTTCCAATTCAAAGACAAATATGCTGGTATTTACAAAGCTTTGTTGAAATACTTACATTACTTATTTAATACGATTAAAAAATTAAAAATGCCTTAAACTACTATTTTTTTTATTAAAATACTTAAAAGCACTATTTATTAAATGATCGGATTCAAACTGTCAAAGTAAACAGCTATTATATAACCTGCTGGTTAATTTTTACTCCTCTTTTTGCGATAATAAGACGTCTTATTACTTACTTATTTACTTTACTCGCGTAGACACCGCTGACTCGATTATAGCCGAGCTAACAACATTGTACCATTCGTTTCTTTTTGCTGTTTGGCGCCGATTGGAAATACCAAGTACAGTCAGGTCCTTCTCTACATGGCCTTTCCAACGGAGTGGAGATCTTCTCCTTCCTCTGCTTCCACCGGCGGATACTGCATAGAACTCTTTCAAAGCTGGACTATTGGCATCCATCCGGACCAATTAACCTAGCGTAGCCGGTGCTTCTTGATTCACTGATCTATATTAATGTCGCCGTATAACTCGTACAGCTCATCGTTCCATCGTCGACGATATTAGCCGTTGCCAATGCGCAAAGCACCATAAATCTTACGCAAAACTTTTCCTTCGAAAACTCCTAACGCCGAATCATCAGATATTGTCATCGTCAATGCTTCCGGACCATATAGCAGGACGGGGGCAATGGTGGACTTGTAGAGTCGGGAGACGACTTTACTTATCAATTGCTGACTCAGTCCAAAGTAGCACCTGTCAGCAGGAGTGATTCTACGCTGAATTTATTTAATTTTATCACTGAGAGTAGTAATAAATGCATTTTTGCGGAGCCATAGAGCCCAAAATGCGGAACGGCTGGATATGTTAAAAGTATATTAAAAGCTGGGTTGCAGAATGTCACTAAGAATTAATTTTCTTGATTATCACTATATTTTTTATTATATCAAATATGGTTATGGTCAATGAAATAGGTCGCACCACCGTTGGCACATAATTTTAATTGACGATTGCAGTTGGCGTTTAAAACGAGCAGACCATTTAAATCACGCACAAAGGTTTGTACGTTACATTTTGTGTTAAGATTTGAAAATATTACCATTTTTGAGTTTTTATACCCAAATGTTAAATTTAAAATTATTTAATGCAAAAAAACCAAAATGTTCTGGTAAATTATTGTTTATATTCCACAAAACATGTTTAGTCTTTTTCATTTTTAATGTAAATATGTAAGTATGTATATTAGTACACTCTTCCGCATAAAAATAAGTGACATTTCAAAGCGGGTACTAATTTATTTCTTCTGTAACACGGTGGTAGCAAGAATATAAAAACAAAAATCCTATGTATTTTGTTTGTGTAAAATTACAGCAGAGAACGTAAATATCAGAGAACGTAAATATAATTTATATATATTTACGTTCTCTGATGCAAGCAATTTAATATTATATGTGTATGCAAAACGCACACAATCTTATATTTTTTATAATGATTTTCATTGATTTTTGTATTTGTAATAAATTTTTAGTCGGGTTCGAATTTTAGAAAGAAATAGCAGTTAAATTATAGTTGCAAGTATAACCAAAGAACGTATATGAATTCATACAATTTTCATATACGTTCTTTGGCCATACCGCATTTGCACAAAGACCGTATGAGTCTTGTCGCTTCTTATTCATATACGTTCTTTGGTATAACTTCTTTTGCTTTTTAATTTTTACATTATTCAAAGCACCCTGTGATTCTGTGTCCCATTTCCAAATTGATTTGATCGCTTAATCACTTTTCAATTTTGTTGGCGTAGTTTTAGAATTATGTTATCAAATATTATAAAATACTTTCAGATAAAAATAACATTAAATTCTTAATTAGGACGGAGTTACAGAATAAAGTGAATGTGTATATACCTAATAGTTACTGTACGTAAATATTACATTGCTATTCAAATGAGTGATGCAAAATTATTTCTAAAGCTTTTTAAAATACAGGTTGTATGATATTTAAATATATTTAAATAAAATATTTTTCTATTTGGTATAACGAATTAGTTACCAAAGCCAGCTTGGTTAGAACTTAAAACATTCCATAATAAGTTAATGAAGTTTGTGTCTACACCAAGAACAGTATGGATTATAATGTTATCACAGAAACTGCTGCCAGAGGTGGCACAAGCAGATCAATATATCCATCTGCCATAAGCGCAAATTCTCATACAAGTAATGTAAACACTTTATCGTCCACGCCTCCAATGTCTATGGACACCCCGACACTTCGCAGCATTGGCACCTTTCCCCTTGACAGCAGCTCTCAGAGTGATGATTCAGAAAATGAATATTTAGATAACAATATTGAACTCCGTGGTTATCTTAGCAAGTGGACTAATTACATATACGGATGGCAACCGCGTTACATTGTTCTTAAAAACGGTACACTTTCTTATTACAAATCAGAATCGGAATCTGATTTTGGTTGTCGTGGAGCTATTAGCCTGAGCAAGGCTACAATAAAGGTGAGTATTATACTTAATTGGCTTCTTTCGAAGAAATATTATTATGCTAAAAGAGATTATTTCAAAGGATACATTTCTTATTTTGAAACTAATATAAGACTATAATCGGTAGATTTTTTAAAACAAAAAATTTATATTTGTAAAATGCCGTATGCAATGGTTTTTTTTGTCAGGTAACCCGAATTGTAAAAGGTAGGGGAGTTGTAAAGAATTGTTCTATTAATGCATTTGTGTCCTTCGAGGATTTTTCGCAATCTGGATATATTTACTTTGGTAATGTCGGATTCTGGCATTGCTTTCTTTTAGAACGTATAGAGTTACCTTGTTTCAGGATCCTTCGGGTCTTATATACCGACTCACTCTACGGGGAAAATATATCTATGAATATTTGTGATATTTGATTCTAGGATATATTAATTTAATTTTCTATTGCTTCCATTTTTTACAGGCTCACGACACTGATGAATTGCGATTCGATGTGGTTGTTAACAATTATAATAATTGGTGCTTACGGGCAGATACATCAGAGGATCGTATGCATTGGGTTGAGGTTCTGCAAATGTATAAAGAAGAGTCTGGAAGTACAGATACTATGTCTTTACGACGCCATGGAAGTACTATGTCTTTACAATCGAACACAATATCAGTGGCTAGTGGCAGCAGTCTTAAAAAGACACAAAGGAACTTAAGAGAAAAAGTTGGTGAAATAGAGACATTCAAAGATATACTTTTCGGTCAAATAGATACTATTCAAAGGTTCGTGTCGAAAACATGTATACTTGACTCTGTACAAAATAAGCTTTCTCAATAGATATTTTGATGCCTGTGTTGATGTTAACAAAGCAACTGGAAAACCTCTAGATCTGGGCGATGGACTTAAGCCAATTGATTTTAAGGTAAGGCAAAAATTTGAAAAATTTTGCTGTCTTAATATGTGTATTATACCATTTATTAAAAGGGAGAATCTATCACGTTTCGAGCCACTGCTTCTGGAGTATTAACAACCCTTCAACACTGTTTAGATATTATTGCGGAAAGTGATGATTTGTGGAAGAGAAAATTAGAACGCGAGTTAGAGAGGAAAAAACGTACTGAAGAACAAAATCGGTTTGTCATAATAATTTTTCTTCTACCGGATATAATTAATAAGTATTTGTATTCCTTCATTACAGAAAATACAAGGAAGAAATAGAAAAAATCAAACGTATCTCATATCCTGGTCCGGACTTAGAGGTAAGTGGGAAAATATTTTAGTGTGAAAATTAAGTCTTCAATTTGGTTCAGTTCCTGCGTGTTATATGAAAAGTGGAAAAGTTTTAATAAACCTAGGTATTATTCATAAAAATAATAAATAAATTTGAAATCAACAGCAATATTTAATGTTGGTCCGGCTTGGACCAATAAGTTATGAAAAAAAACAGCTTGAAAATTTCTAAAGCTAGAAAAATTAAATTCTAAAATTAATATTCTGGACAACTTTTCTTGGGTATGATTCATCAGTTGTGTAAGCCTTTTAATAATTCAGAAAGATATGATGCCGTTGCAAGTCGTCGAGATTCGTCTACCTCTTTCGAAATACTGGTAGAGTTTGTGCTTCCATAGTTAGAGAGCAATTTTAATCGAATTAACTATTTATTGTGTTGGAAGTAAATAAACTATTTGCGGTAAACATGTAAAGTAACAATTCAACACTGGTTTGTTGTGTAAGCAATAAATGCTTAATTTGTGGTGGATCTTCGAAGTGGTAATATTTTAAAATTTCTATCAAATAACTTTAATATGGTGAAATTATGTATATTATCCTTTGCCACGTCTAAAAGTAAGTAAACATGTATTGAGGTAGTTATACTTATAAATTATGTATTAAAAACAGATCTTTTACACAGATGTATTGCCAGCACATTTAAACTATGGAACCAGAAAACATAATGAAGGCTATATGCGATGAGAATGTTGAGACTGTAATTGCAGCTAACGTACATTCAAGTAGGCGTAAAAAGTTTGAAGGATTTTAATTGCCCTCCAATTTTTGCACGAACAGACCTAAAACAGCTGCACGGCCAATTTGCCGAATTTTTTGCTGTTACAAAACCGGCAACAGGGTAATTTCAATGATAATCAAATATATTGGTGTATAGATATATATATTAAAAAAACGCAATAACTTTTAATTAAAGGCAAATCATGAGACTAACATCCATTTTGGGTATCAAAATAATAATATTAATTACTAGCAATAGTTGTATTCGCAATGCGATGAATTTTTGATCACCATAATTTCATAATTTTGTTTTTAATTAAACACAAACTACGATACGAAATGTTTTTGCTATTATATATTCGATTAATTGAGTTTTTTTCATTTTATTCATTTTGTTTCGTAAATTTATAAAACTTATCAAAAATATCAGGAATAAAAAAAACTGGGCCAAGAGATTGCCTAAAGCAAAAGTTAACTTGGAAGATTGGTGTGTTTAATTTATGTAGATACAACAGCTGCAAACTATCCTCGAAAATATTGTAAGAAATAATAAAATAAGTCTAATAATAATAATAATAACTGTTTTTCTTTTTTTATTATTTTGGGGGCTGATTGTTCAATAGAAATTTTCAATGCATATTTATTTAAATGTACAATTTGTAAAGTATGTTAAAATACTTTTTAAATTGTTTAGGAAAAAACAAAAAAATTTGTAAATTTCGAGTTGTAACGGGTGTAAATTTTACTTTATGAAATCAAACTCGTTTCTTATATTTGTAAAAGGAGTGTTGCTAATATAAAAATAAGAAAAGCCATAGAATTATACATACGTGTATGTACGTACGGCGGCTGTGGTAGCCGAGTGGTTAGCATTGCGTTCTGCCATTCGGAAGGCTCGGGTGCGCCGTGCGAACAACATCCAAAAGTTTTAGAAAATTAATTTAATTAAAAAATTAAGTTAAACTTTCTAATTGCGGTCACCCCTCGGCAGGGAATGTCCAACCCTCCGAGTGTATTGCGGACATAAAATGAAGGCTCCTCATTAAAAAACCATCAGCCGTTCGGATGTGGCTTAATATAAACTGTAGGTCCCTCCATTTGTTGGAAAAAAATCAAGACGCAAAACTACAAATTGGAGCCGGAGCTCGGCCGAAAGTCGCCTCAGCGGTTACAAAGCGCCAATTATATATATATGTATATATATATACATATGTACATATATAAAAATATTATCGAAAATGGTTTTCATTGGTACATCAACTTGACACTCTTGGTTTGTATAAAAATCCGGGTCGGTGCAATATAAAAACCCGATTGTCACGGAAACTTTTGGAATTTAGTGGTCTCTTACGACAAACATGCACGCGGGAGGAAATATTATTGAACTCCATACCTCATAGCTCATAGTCATTGTTTTCAATACTATTTATCTCTTAATATTATCGCTTAAGTAAAAAAATCAAATTTTCTAGATAAAATTTGTTTAACAAAATTTTCCTTATTTGTTTTCTTCATTGATTAAAAAAACTATAAATTGTGGAAAAGTAATACAACTTTCGAGCCATCTATTGAGCTTGTAAATAAGTTAAATACCAGCTGCTTTTGGACTCCTTTAATTTATGAGAAAGCTGTGTCGACCAGATGATTGCTGCTACTGTCACAACGATAATGCATTTTTAATCACTCGAAAGTGACGGTGATGTACAAAGTTACTGTATACCGGATAAAATTCACGTGGATTCCATTGCGTTGAACCGCTCTTGACCACTCTGACAACACCCGATATATGGAAACTGGTTAGAGTGGTGCCGCTGCTAAAGCCGGGAAAAGCTGACGGAAAGGAAAACTTATATCTCTTCTTTATCCGCTAACGAAGATAACTGAAGCCAGTTTTTCATTTACCTACTGTCATGTCAACATGGCATATCCACAGGCTTGAACGAAATTCACCGAGGATTGGCGTTCTCGGAATTCAGCCATATTGTGGACCAAAAGCTCGAGCTGACACAAAAGACCCGAGCAATAATGGCACAGTTAAGGCTGGATATTATTGTCTACCTAATCCATACCTATCAAGACTTTACCCGGACATACCCAAAATATATCCTGCATGCAATAAATCCCCGTATGACACTAACCACCTCTTTGCAAATAAAGCCAACTCATTTAAAACGCCTCATTTTTGCCTGCTCCTATGCGGGGTTTGATAGCTAACAACTGTAACAACAATAATATGATTCTTACAATTCTATAACTAATTTCTATATGCTAGTAATGCAATGAAGAGTCCTAATCAAACTTCGACAAATGCAAAAAATCAGGCTAAGTAAAGGATAAGTAAAAGGTGAAGTGTTCATTACTTTATAATGTTTGAGTGCATGTAAAAGATGGCCACAGGCAAATAGGAAATGACCTACATATTATATATTCTACAATTTTTCTTGATAACGGTGGGGTTACGCCAGCCAGGCAGTTAAAAATGTGAAAAATTTCATTTGGCTAATTTTGATTTAAAAGATGCTGCCTTGTGGAAGACCAATTGTCTAAAATGTCGGATGTCGCCCAGTGTGACCCTTATGCGGGCACTGATTGACAGCCAAAACACTAGGGAAAATTTATATAAATTCAAGTGAATAATTTATTATTTCCTCTAGACGGATATCTCTAATTTTTAATACAAAAGTTTTGCTCATCAATGAAAACTAAACAATTCGGTGAGAGTATATTCTATTTCCAGGAAACTGTGGAGGTGAAGTTTTAGTATATTGGGAGTGCAAATTCATTTGATCAGTTTTTTTGCGATCAGAAAAGAGTTTTTTATTGAAAAAAAAAAAAATTAAATAAAAAATACGTCTATCAAAGTATTGTCTATCGGAAGCGACTACTTTTACAAACCTCTGGTGAATTTCGAAAGAATTCTAAATACCTATCTTTTTTCGATCCAATCATTGATATATTCTTCGAATTCTTCAAAACCGGTGATCCACCTAATCGTTTTGTCGAAAAAGCCAGTAGTCGGAAGCGATAAGGTCTGGTGAATACAGCGTGCTCAGATTCACCGTGAAATTCTACATGAACTGGGCTTCAGCTGCACTTTTCTTCCAATTAAAATAGAAAATTAAAACTTCCCAAAAATGCTGTTTGTTTGAAACGAATACGCACATTTTTGAGGCAAAAACAATGTTGTTGTCAGAAACAGATCCTGATGTACACTAATTATTCTTGACAGATGTCAAACTTTTCTAACGAAATAGGCAATCGCTTACAAGATCAGCAACATCTCGAAGGTGGAGCCATCTTTTAAAAACGGACCGAATTAATTTGTACCACCAATATAAATATATGCTCTTCTTTCATAAACACCTCTGGCCTTGAAATTACTATAAGTATATGTGCACATAATGTCGAATTTAATGGTCTAAAAAATACCGTTATATACTATAAGTGGAGTGTGTGGTTTTTTGCTAAAACTCGTCCATAATATTACCAAAAGTAAGTCCTGATGAGATCAGCTGATTCTTTTTTAAATAAAGATGCAGAAGAGTAAAGAAAAAAAATGTGGGTCTTATCGGCAACATTGGAATGCAACTACAATTCGATTTCTGATCAGTTTGAATTTTTGTTACCGTCATGCTCAAGTTGACCTTGAAATTGACAGTATTGTTTACATAGTAGACAGTTGTGCGTATTTGTTAGGAAAAAGACGAAGCAAAGTTGAAATAAAAAGTGTTACGCTTTTTGAGCGCATAAAAATGTGAATAAAATTATTAAGCACTGCACGTTCCAGCAGAGTAGCTTCGAAGAGGCAATTGTGGTTGCTTAAGCAGCCAAAAAAGAGATGCAACGTGAGAAATGCTCGTAGCGTGGCTCGTGGCTTGATGTTGTGACTTAAAAACTTGGTTTGTCCTATATTTTACTCTTGCAGAGCAACTTCATTAAAGCTTTATACACAATATATTATATGTATGATTTGCTTATTTTTAAACAGCCAATTTCTGTTGTTTGGTATTTTATGCTTTGTTGGGCTTAGCAGTGAATTTTCCACAATTTGTGTTTATTTGATGGGTATTTCCATTGTGACTACTGGGTCGTTTGAATAAGAAAAAAACATGTGTAAACTATAATCGCATAAAAATGACAAGCGCTAGACGACGTACTAAATTTTTGATAAATCATACTCCTAGCGAGTAATCTTTTGCACCTACCTAGAGCTAGTTATCTCATGATTTCTTTGTAAATAAAATATAAATTT